AGGATCAATAATATATGTTGAAAGAACTTTATTAAATCATCTTTATTACCTCAAACAGGGTAAAGTATCGTCTACGTAGCGGAACCATGCCGGGAAGTTTAAAGTTTCAAACAATTTTGATTCATAATAATGCATACCATTGAAACTAGTCCTGTGAAAATTTTGAAAATATAATGCTGATTTTTGTTGTTTGACTTCTGAATTAGTAGGAATTAGATGTTTTCTGTTTCTGCAGTCATTTGAAGCCAAGACTTTGAAGTGAAAATCGAGGTCTTTAGTAAATCATTTAGCTTTATTTGAAATACAGTTGATCTGGTGTTCCTTTCAATAGTAAATATGGCTCCTGCCTAACAATACAATAGAGTGCTGGTTTCAAATGCAAAGTCACTCGGTTTGCAAAAAAAAATGGAAATCATGCTCCAACAGGGATGTTTATTAATGTTTGTTGGTGAAAAATGGCGGTAAAGTGCAGAATCTCCTACTTATTTCTTTGGCGCGTTTTACAAGACTAAGAATAATTGGATTTTTGTCAATTTTCTTTAACTTTTTAAGTGAAAATAGGTCGATGTGTACATGGATAAAGTCAAGGGAGCGCGCAATGCCAATTTTGTGCAATTCTGGGATGTTTTTTTAAGTGAAAATAGGTCGATGAATACATGGATGCCAAGTATTTGCAACTCTTAAAAATGCGCCAAGCAGTGCGCGATTCTGCACTTTCCCCACAGATGGAATGGATGATGATTATTTATGGACCAGAGTAAAAATAATGGTGAACATGAAAAAAGTTTCGATGATTTGCCTGAAGATGAACATGACAAACTTTTCATTTTATCCGATAATGAAAATTTTTAAGTTCATAAGTATGTCACTTTTCTTAAATAAGCAGCATTTAGGTATGTGTGGAAAATGTAATTTTGGAACTACTCTTATATACGCCCTCCCTTGGGGACAAATTTCTCCACGGTGCCATATTACAATCTAAATTTTTTGTCTACATTCAAACTTTAAACTGCCTAAAATGTCTCCAAAAACCACGTTTTAAACACACATTTTAAGCTAAAAATATGAAACAAAAACAAAAAATTTAGATAGCAAAAACGTAGTTTCTAACCAAAAATATTTGACAAGAATCCATGCACACAGTGAGATGTTTTAACTTAAAAAAAAATCTGATGTGTACACCACGACTTCCTTGTACGGAACATTAAATTATACGCATTTTTTCTTGCATTTCATTTAAACTTATTGGATTGAATTAAATCTACTTCGCTGACAGCGCATAAACCACAATAGAATAAATGCATTCTTTAAAATTCACTCTATTTGTTTACCATAGCGACACTCTGGCACGAGGTTCATTTCGTTCATATTATAACTCAGAATGCACAAAATTTATATCATTTAAAGAATTATATAATCGTTTCCACATATTCTATTCAAATAATATAATAAAGCTAGAACGATGTATAAAAGAAATTAAGCAACAAAACAAAAAAGAAACAGTTTTTCACAGCGATTGAGTACTTCTTTCAATTAATTCATTCTTACTTCGTGACAAGCAAAAATACATAAAACTCAAAAGATCTGGATAAACAAATTACGAAGTAAATTTAAACACTTATTTCCTCTAAAAAATTTCAGAAAGGTAAGAATGATTTAATTCACATAATAATGAAGGGTTATCTTCGTTGTGTGAAAGCTAAGTTTCTCTAGATTGGCAACAAACCACTATTCTGCGTTTCAATGTAAACAGCAATGTCCGGCATCAAAAAATTTTAGGCTTAGCGACAAACAACTTAAAATTGTTGATAATTCTAAAAATATTGCGTACAGATTTACTAAAGACATAAAACCTTAAGTGGAAGATAAAAAACAACATAATTCCATCATTTTTAAGCAAAAAAATGTACAATTTACAAAAATAAAGTAAAGAAACTGAGATTACTGAGCCAGGTAAACGAGTGGATATATAGATATATATATTGTACGTTGGGCAGCCGATTGCAACCAAATAAGGGTGCACATCTAGATGTTATAGCATTCCAGGCTACTCGTTTTGAGTTATGCAAGATACGTACGTCGTATAAGTTCGTACGACGCACGAAATTCTCTTCAGATTAATTTTAAAGCAGTTTTTAATTTTTGGAGGAAAAGAGTCTTTTATTATGTCTTACGTACGATATCATGCAAAAAATCGGTAAATTGCTTCGAAGCGGTCAGAATGGATATTTCATTGAAATATGCTGCCTGAATCTTTTCGTGATTACAATAGTCCTTTTTTACTTTGTAAAAGGAAGTAAAAAAATCTACGAACTGCACCATCTAGGCATTGCGCACACATCACAAAATAAAACTAAAATAATTATAGGAATTCAAAAAACAACAATAACAACAGAAATTCATAGTAAAAAAACAATGAACATAACATTCTACAAAATAAAAAGGATAAAATAAATTGCACTTACCATAATGGAAGTTTCTTCAGACAGCAGAACGTAGCTTTAAAACGTGCCACCACGTATGAAATTTATATGACAGCCAGACTCGATATCCAAAAAATTGATACTATGGTTCACGAATAAATGTTCAAAACCTTCTTTTTCTAAATCCTTGTAGGATTTTACTTTGCACACAATCCTACATACAAAATATGTGACTGATATCTTGCCACCACGTCTCTCATTGCAAAATAGACTATTTCAAAATACACACAACATGAACCAATGAGCAATTAAAATACTGCATCAAAAGAGTTAAGTTTCAACATCAAAAGGGTTGCCATTCAAACATCGTCCCCAAAACCATCGTACCAAAAACCAGCGCAGAACACATATCCCCACATTTGGTGATATTAAAGATAATCATATTTATTACATTATATAAGAGTACAGCCGTCATTTTTTATGCTTATTTTTTTTCTTTACTTTGAAGCTATCTTTTTTATATCCCGTATATAACACTCACCTGTAAATTTCAATCTCTTTTTGGTATTAAAAGTGCATGTTATACGCAAGAATATAATAATAATATTAATAAATAAAGAAACTTACAGCTATTTATTTATATTTTCTAAAGAACTTACTATATTAAAGAACTTAAAAAACTGATTCCATAAGCTGCATTTTACTTATATATATTAGTTTAATTTCCTCAAGATCTCAATCCTTTCCAATAAATCATCATAGTACGTAATTTAAAGAACTCATAATCTTTAAAAAAAAAAAAAAAAAAAAAGACAGAGAGAGAATTCTGATAATTAACTATTTTTATAATATTTTTACTTATTTGCATTTAAGACTGTAAAAGAATTTATTTTAATTCTTTTTTATGAAAAATATTCCCATTATTAAAAAATTTTATTCTCCTGATTCTTTTAATGTTAATTTGCTTCAATGCTTGCAAATAAAACTAGTTGTATGTTATATTTTACATTCTTTTTTAGAATGCAAGCACTGATGTATTTAAAACAAGTATGTGTCCTTGCGAGTTAAAAATCATGTTCCTTCACATGCTGGATAAAAAAATATAGAATGATTTTTGAATAAAGATTTAGTATATACGGATTTCTTACCTGGATGGAAAAGATGTTTCCCAAGTGATTCATTTTTCAGATGACTTCTTGTCTACTGTACACAAAGGGGATTCTTCTACAGTATGGATGCATGTAATAATTGATTTAATTTGAGACGGCCCTATATTTTTCTTTCTCGATATTAGATGCATACTTCTTTTTCAAATGTTGTATAATGACATGTTTGAACTTGGAGTTAGGTAGGCATGATCTTCAATATTTGGGAGTACGTCATTCAGCTATGCAAGATGACGAATGCATGGCCATAACTAATCACAAAACTGTGACAGAATTTGTTATCATACTCAAAAATATCAAATTTTAACATAAAGCAGTTACAAGTTAATGAATGCACACTGCGATGAAATATATAACAATGCTTTGGAATTTTAAAAGTACAAACATTTCAAAGTGGTAAAACAAAAGTTATACATTTAACACATTCTCGCACAAGGTTATGTTGTCACTATTCTTTGGCTTATCTCCAGAGAACACACAGAGATAAGCCAAATAATAGTGACTATTATGTGAAAGCATATTTTAAATATATACATGTAGCCACAAGAAGAAGAAAAACCTTAGTTACACAAGGAGTTTTGGTTTTGTTCAGACAACACAAGTGGAATTGGCAGCGCAGTCCTAAACTGATCTTTTAAACGTAGAGTATTGTGCACATAACATTGACTGGTAAAAGTTTACAATTGGGTTGCCCTTGTTTATTGCAAATTCTTTTTTCACGCCAAGATCGACACCAGGAATGCACAATTTCAAGATGTCCACTACACAAAACCAAAAAAAGAAGTCAAAGAATTGCACAAGATATGTCCATGTACACAGCGATCTGTTTTTACTTAAAAAAACATCCTAGAATTGGGCAAACTAGGCATTGCGCACTGCTTTAAATATGTCCATGTACACATCAATCTATTTTCATTTAAATAAAATCGGGAAGCTAAAACAAAGTTAAAACTATCGTGGTAACCAGAAGTGAGGCTTCATCGTCACAATTTTTAAAAAAATGACGCCAATCGAAGGGGCACCCAGTTCTACACTAGAGCCCATTGACTTTGTGATAATAAATTTTTGTGCATTCATGACATTCAAGGAGTAATTATATCAGAGGTTAAGTTTTGATATGTGAGAATTGTCAGCCTGCAGCTATGTCACAAAACTATATATTTTATATATTTATAGTTTTCATGAAACATTATGAAAAGGAAAGTTCAAATTTAGAGAAGGAAAGAATGCAAGGCACATAAAAATTCCTGAATATAATAAGAGGTTCGGTCTCAAAAGTTTTTAATTAGTCTAGATATATGCTGTGGTAAATCTTTCTTTCATAACAGAAGTTCTTATATACCAAGCATTTTTACAAGTCAGTATTCCTATAAAATCACTTGTGATTTATCTTATAAACATGGTCCTTCACTTTCAGGAAATAAATAAATAAAACTTTTATTAAGAACAAGGATAAAATGACATGTTACACAACTCTTACAATGAGATTTCTTTCTAGTATGGACAAGTTGTTATTGTACAGACAAGTAAAGGTTCTCACCTAAATTTTTCAGTTCAGACAAGAGGCTTCTGTTCTCTGTAGATACCGTCCTCTAATTTATTCTTTTATTCAAGATTTTGTTGTGTTTTGTTCCTCTTCTCCTGCATGAATACGCATATGATTTTTTAAATCACGCTTTTGCCTAAATGACTTATTACATGACTTACACACATAAGGTTTCACTCCTGTGTGAATACGCATATGAATGTTTAAAGTACTTATTTGTCTAAATGATTTGTTACATACATCACACAAATTAGGTTTCTCTCCTGTGTGAATAGGCATATGTTGGTTTAAATGAAATTTTTGTATGAATGACTTATTACATACCTCACACACATGAGGTTTTTCTCCAGTGTGAATACGCATATGCTGGTTTAAACAAAATTTTTGTCGGAATGACTTCTCACACACTTCACACATATAAGGTTTCTCTCCTGAGTGAATAAGCAAGTGCTTATTTAAATCAGTTCTTTTTCTAAATGCTTTGTTACACATCTCACACACATGGGGTTTCTCTCCTGTATGAATACGCAAATGCTTCTTTAAATCACTCTTTTTTCTGAATGCTTTATTACATATCTCACACACATGAGGTCTCTCTCCTGAGTGAATAAGCATATGATCATTCAAATGATGCTTTTGTCTGAATGATTTGTTACATAGCTCACACACATGAGGTTTCTCCGCTGTATGAGTAAGCTTATGCTTGTTTAAATGATCCTTTTGCCTGAATGACTTGTTACATACTTCACACACATAAGGTTTCTCTACTGTGTGAATAATCATATGCTCGTTTAAAGTATGCTTCACTCTAAATGATTTGTTACACAACTCACACACATGAGGTTTCTCTCCTGTGTGAATAAGCATATGATTGCTTAAATTAATTTTCCGAGAGAAACGCCTGTTACATATCTCACACACATGAGGATTCATTTGAGGGAGAATCAACATATGCTTGTTCCAATCACCTGTTTATCCGAATGACTTGTCAGATGCTTCACACATGTGAGCTTTATTTAACCTGAGAATAAGAATTTTCTTCTTTAAAGCACTGTTTAAAATTAATTATGAACTCCACAAACTTTCTCTCTTGTATTGATATAATAAACTCTTTTAATACAATGTTTTTCCCAAATGCCTCATAATATACCTTCTAGGCATAAAGTTCCTGCGCTACATAGAAAAATTATATGCTGAAAACACTTGCATCACATAACCTGCTACATACATCACAATGATTTTCACAAAATTCTGCATGGATGTAAAAGCAGTTGCTTAACAAAAATTTTACACAAAATAGTTCTTGGATGCTTTCACTAGTTCTCACTATCTGGCACAAATGCATATTTGATTATCTTTCTAAAAATATTAATTCATACTTTGAATGAGACGCGCGTTATTATCTGACATAACCATGGCTTGATTTTTCAGGAACACTTTATGAAAAGACAGACAAAGTAGACAGATGTCTTTTGTTGCACCCGCTAAGTCTTTCTGCACCGATGGGCGAAAAATCAAGCATAGGTGCGAAGAAAGGTATAAAAAGGGGGGCATTTCGTATTTCAGAGGAAAGTAAAAAGGAACTTCGTATTTTTATACGAGTTCGAAAGGCCAGGAAGAAACGATGGGACAAAATAAAGTAAAAAATAAATGGCCCAAAGTAATGGAGAGGGGAAAAAAAATTTTCATTTATAATTAAAAAAAAAAAAAAAAAGGGCCTATAGAAAGAAAGGAAAGGAAGTAGGAGAATTGTGTTTAAAAAAAAAATTAAAATAAGTAACATCATCTATTGCGGTTTCCAACATATTTAATACTCAGAAAAACACCATCAGATAAAATCATAAATCCAAACAGGCGAGAACATATCACAAAAATAATAAGTAATAAATTACGGAGTTTTATTTATTATTTTTTATTTAATATTATTTATTTTTTTAAAAAATAAGCATTTTATTATTTATAAGTTAATGGTCATAATTTATTATATGTATACTATTTATCAATTGGAGGCACACTGTATTAATAGATGCTTTTAATTTAAATAGATAGGAAATATAGATTAAAGGGCAAAACTACAACTCTATACTTCATTGAGGCCCGAGATCGTGTTTTTCCCCTCGAGAAATTCCTCAAAGAGCCCCAATGGGTAGTGCTAACACTACTGATAAGGCTACTGATAAGATATGCGTCCCTACGAGATGGTAACCAAAAAAAGAACACAGGATTTAAGCAATTACTAGTATTTATGCCAGAACATAATAAAATGAGCATAATAATAAAATGATCATAATATATAAATGAATTTAAGGTACTTCAGTGACAGATATTTGATTTAGCTTAGAGAAAGAAGTCTACTTATCTGAACGCTCGTCTTAGTGTGCTGCAAAAGATTGCAAGGAAGACAAGACCCCCAGGTACAGGAGAAATCCCGGCCTTGAGAACGAGACAATGCAGAGGATATTCGCAAAATTTTCTTAAATAAATGAAGATTTTTCGGAAAACACCTTTAAAAATTCAAGAGCTCTTCCAAGATCCTGCCTCCATCGTACGTGATCACAGCGCCTCAAAGCACTTTATGAAAAGTTTATTTATTACACTTCACGCATTATACTTCAAATATAACTGTAAGCAATAATGCTACATTATGATCATATGAAGATGAATTAACTTAATAAGTTTTAACAGACCGAACTCAATCTATGAAATATTATGCTGAAATCCCAAAAAAACACATTAATTTTTCGTTCTGAGTTTGATGGCGAATATTACAGAGATAAAATTACTTCGAATCTACAGGAAATGCTTTACTTCGATTTCCTTTCGCAAACGACGCGACTTTACAAAATAACAAACGTTTAGCCCCCCCCCACACACACAACAGTCGGAATCGGATTGTCACGTGACCAAGCAAACGACGTTAGGATCAAGGATCAAGGAAGTGCAATTTACGGAGTTCATAGGCAATTACGCCTTTACCTCCACATCGTCATAGGAATTTAGATCATCAAAAGAGGGGATTGTCTAATAGGGCAAAAATTTTGAGAGAAGCCGAATGACTTGGATAAGTGCCTCACACTGAGACAAAAAAGGCAAAAAAACTCAAGTCTTAATTTTGTGCCGAAAAAGAGCCAGAATAATTTCGAGGGGCAGTCGTCATAAAAATTTTAACCAGATAAATAAGGTGAATTTCTGAACTTGATAATCGTGTTTTGCATACGTCAGAAGCGAAGAATAGCAGGAAGGAGAAATCGCTCCGATGCGCGTTCTTCAGGGGTGGGGGGACGGGGGCTGGTTACAGGTCGAAAAGTAGTTTGCCAGTGATCACTGGGAGGAGAAGTTTTCGTTTTTGACCGCCTTTCAATGCAGTATTTAAAGGCCGAAAATGACGTTGTTAAACGCCTAAGAGTTCCTTCTGTGATGCTTCTTTGGCGATAATAAGCAACTCCAATGATGGAACACAATAACTTTTATTTAACACTAAAAATGGCGACATACAAACAAGAAGAGAAACATATTCTAACATTAAAAAAATTACATTCTTCGTGCGAGAGTCGCACGAGGCACCGAGTCTGGTTTCAAATATACCATTCAGAAATAACTTAATTTCTATTTAAGCTGTTACAACCTCCCCCCAACGGAGAGACTTTTCGAAGGGAAAAGTTCTGTAAAATTGACAGTTTTAATAACTCGGCTTTCATTTGCTTAAAGGCAAGGTTATTTCTCTATAAATTTCCAAATTTCAGGCCAAATTTTTAAGTTTAAACAATATTTTATACCATTAAGTAGAAAAAGATGCAAAATGATCAAATTAGTCTTCCTTTTTTCCTTGCGGCGCCTAGATTTTTTCCATGGTGGACCAGTTCTCTCTATAATTCACAGCAAAGCATTCCTCGGTTCATCTGCCTTTTGGATAATATTCATTTTCATTTGCTTTCGACAATTGTTTTCTTCGTCTATTAGTAGCGGCTTTGGATTAAATCAAAGCCGAAAGATGATGATACGCTGCATTGCAAAATGATCTCAGATAATTCTTCATCGTTTTTCAAATTTTCGTGAAAATCTTCCACGTTTAATTCCGGTGATTTAACTTCCTCTTCAAATACATCTCGGATGCTTTATTTTCTTTCTTCTCGGTTCCAAGATCTGCTCTTCACTATTTTCTTTTCCTTTGAGCTCTAGTAGAGACGGCATTAACCTGGTGAGGAGGCCTATTAGGTTTCTTTCTTGTTTATTCAATAGTGCAAAAGTTCGATTGCCTAATAAATACTTCCCTTGTCGAGTTCATTTCTAATAATGGCAGCCTTAGTATTACTCTCCAAGATCGCAATTTAGTTCGATCTAACCAATGGTAAACAGGTTGGATCCAATCTAAGGCTGTTGCACCCACACATTTTCACTGTCAGCATTTCCGGCGTGATGTATTTGCGACAAACTATATCATACTAGCACCTGAATCCCTTAATATAGGATTTTTTGACCATTTACGTACCCATACTATAAAGGTAATAGAAATTTTATCCTCTGGTTTTGCACTAATTCTGTAATATTAGCAGAGATTCAGACTATTCTTAATTTTGGACAATGGGGCCTTAAATGTTGATAGGCCCACACTGATAGCATGTGGCGTCTTCGTTTTTCATATTTATCATATGGACGTGGACTTCTAGGTCTATGAAACCAGCTTTGCGACTTAAATCCTGATGACATTTTTTTTTTCAGTTTTATTTTTGTTATCTGAACTCACTTTACTTTGAGTTAGTGCATTGTATCTTTCTTTCTGCCGATCCACTACAGGACGTTTTTTGAAAGTTTCCACGAACGTTTTCACAGGCATGAATTTTTTCAGATAATTTTTTAGACGAAATCATCTCTACTCACTCATCAAGAAAATGATCTCGACTTTCAGGAGGAACTCTACGCTTAAGTTGGTCAATCACCATCGAATCTAGCAACTGATCAAAAGTCCTAACTCCTAGACCAGTCACCCATTCTTTGCAATAATTTCTATTTCATAATTGAATCCCCATGTGGATCGGTACTTTTTTTGATGTTTCTAATTTTCTGCCTAAACTTTCCGGCTTAGTTTAAACCGTCTTAACAATAAATTTTTCACGTGTTCATAATCTTTAGCTTTATCGGAGGGTCTCTAGCTATTAACTGGGTTACTTCGTAAGGAAGTAGTCCTAGTAAATGAGATACAAATTCTTCTTTATCAATTTAGCCATTCTGCTTGCCTTCAAACAATAGCAAATATAGACTGATATCTCCTTTCTTGTCATCGAATTTCTGCGTAAGTGAGCAGCTCGTTTCGGCCGGATCTGTCCGGTATTTTGAGAATTTGTCTCTGTCAAGTCTTAATCTCTCTAATTCACACTGTTTCTCTCCTTCTCCGCGCGCTTTTCCTCTACGTTCTTCTCTTTCCTTCTCTTCCTCTTCTCCTTTCCTCCCTCTCTTTCCTCCCTTTCTCCCTCACTTTCCGTTCTTCTATTATTGTGTCTAGACTCCTTGACGAATACTTCATCATAATCTACTTTCCCAATTTCTGTTTTAAATCGACTATTTTCAAATCTGCAGTCACATGACTCCCAGTTCAGCCGCGAGATTTGCAAATCTTCCTACGAGCTCTTCCTAGTAAGACAGTTTATGTTTAAAATTAACGAACACTGTTTTCTTATAGCCTCAAAATAGCTCAATTCAATTACTTAATTAATTAATGCAGTCAGGAATCACGAAATTAAATGCACTTTGTTAAGTACAGTCGGTCACAAAAGTATTCGAACACCGGTACCCTATCAGAAAATGACAAGATGGCGTTTTTTTTCCTCTTTCTCTCTGTGTGTCGTGTTATTCCATCCTAGGTTTTCTTCTCCCCCCATCTTGGAAAAAACTGGAAAAAATTGGTTACGATCTCTTTTTGAATGGGGAGATGCCATTTTGAGAAAAAGCTGACGACCCTATCTTGGAGAATGAACATGACATGACCGCTCTACACACCCTTTTACTCTCTCTCTCTCTCTTTGAATTGGGAAGCCATTTTGGGAAAAAGCAGACGACCCTATCTTGGAGAATGGAAATGAACGCCTCTCCCTCTCTCTTTGAAATGGGAAGCCATTTTGGGACCCTCTATTCTTGGGGGGGAGGAGAAAAACTGAAGCCTGCATTTCGCTGTCTCTGAATGCGGAAAGCCCTTTGGGAAAAGCGGACCCTCTTCTTCTAATCTTGGAGAACTGGAAATGAACGCTCTACACGATCTCTTTTTGAATTCAGAAGGTATTTTGGGACCTTCTAATGTTGGAAAACTGAAATGAACGCTCTACACCTCTCTCTCTCTCTTTGAGATGAGTAGCCATTTTGGAGGATTCTCCACCACCATCCTAACCTTGGAAAACTGAAATGAACGCTCTATACCTTCTCTCTCTCTCTCTCTTTCTTTCTCTGAAATGGGTAGCCATTTGAAAACTCCCTAACTTTGGA